AAAAAAAAGAAAGAAAAGAAAGAAGCATCAACTATATCAAATACTCATGGAAGCTTAAGTTAAAGAGATTTTTGCTTCACAGTATTTACGCCAATTTGCAATTCAATACTTATTTATGCGGTTATTTGTTTAGTGTCTCTCTCCTCCAATAGAGAACAGAAGGCAAGAAGTCTGACTCTCTTACATTTAGTATTTGCCACATACCTTGAAGGCAGTGTCCACAGAGCCTAACCAATATATAGTGACATTGGGGTGAGGCACCCACCTTCTCTGATCCCAAGTGAGAATGTCTATGGACTGGCCTCTCCTCACCCCTTTCACCACAAACCATGAAACTCAGAAGAGCAGGCCCCTCTTTTTCTCCTGCCTTCCAAAGTTAGATACAACCAGGTTACCTCTTGTTGTGGAAATCAAGTTTCACCCTACTGAGAAGAATGGAGACTTAAGGGCCAAGTTATGAACAAATAATTTTGCCTTCCTTCCCCCCCCCCCATGTTCTAGATTGTAACCCCTTAACTTGGATCTAACACTCGGATCTTTCCAGATCAATACTGCCTCCTCATACTGCAAGCAATTTGCTAGGCCACAAGAAGTCAAGACAAGTTTTCCAGAATAGGTATAACTTGGGCTAACAACATAAAAGGACAGAAGGAGAAGACTGAAGATGTTCCTTATATCATTAGTCCCTGGACAACCTGTTCACTTATACTGATAGCTGAGCCTAACACATCCCCAAACATTCAGATTGAACTTATGCCCTTCCCTAAGCAGACTGAAAAAGAAGATAAGTAGTTTCATGTTGATAAGGACTCCCCTTCCCCCTCATGGAGCCAGCTCAAAAAGAATTCTTATGTTTCTTACACATGTATGATTATTTTTTCTTGATTATATTGTAATTACCTATTCATTTGTCTCTGCCTTCAACCAAAACAGTATCCGTGTCTTGGGCATCTTTGTATCTTAAACACTTAGAGCAGGGCTTTGTAAGTACATGATGAGTGCTTTAATACATGAATGAGTAGATGAGAGACAAGAAGTGGTTAGTGTTCTGACACATAACATCATCCTCCACACATTCAGCATAACACTTAGTATACAAGTCTCTTCATATTAGAAGATATTACTGTGGAATTAAAGGATTCAAAGGACACGCCTTCTATTATTTCCCTTTATGGAACAAGATCACTCACATGGTTAAGACACAGTACTAACTATATTCTAATCCCCAGCTGTGACTACCCTATTACTGTAGGTATAGATTCCAACCAGTCAGACTAGGTCCTGTGGTAAGAAGGGCAGGGAGGTGACCATATTAGGCTTAGTTGTAAAATCGTCAAAGACAAATATTTGCTTTCAGGAAGGATGAAAACATAGTTTCGACAGGGATTTTGTTTCCCAAAAGGGTAAGAAAAGCTTTGGATTTAGGTGAGCTAATTAAATTCTTAATTGTTATCAGTTGACACTCTGCTATTTCTTTGAATGTATTCTCTGTACCTTTCAGGTAGGGAACAGAAAGAGAGCAGTCCTCTTGCATATTTCTTTGTTTCTACTGAGGTGAGATGAAGTTTTTTTTGTTCTGGAAAACCCACAGGGGAGCTGTTGCGGGAGCAGTCCTGGAGGAGGACCCAGAATCACAGCCAATTTTCTTTTCTTTTTTTTTCTTTTTTTTGAGAGGATTATGCTATAGGGCGTGTGCGCGCACCAGACAGACAGAGAGAGACAGAGAGACAGAAAGCAAGAAATCACCCCCCGGGGGGATGGTCACGCCACAATCCCTTCTCCTCCCTTCTCCTCTTGGGATCTTGGGCATACACGCACACATGCCTGGCGTGAGTTTTAAGCCACCGGGTCTGGGACACGAACCGCGGTCGACTATGTGGGAGTCCAGCGACATAGCCATTACGCTAACTGCTGGTTCCCTCAGCCAATTTTCTGTTGCAGTCTTGGATCCCACTATTTCCCACAGGGACCCTTATCAGAGAACAGCTGGTGTTGAGTATCGGTATTTCAGAGGACTTTTCAGTCTTCCTTCATATTAGTTTTATGTATAATATTTTATTGTGATCAATAGCTGTTGGGAAGCTACTTGGCAGCCACTGAATTCAGTTTCTACATCTGTGAACCAAGAATAGTAGCATGACCCTATTAGACAATGCCCAGTGAAGCCACCAAAGGGGGAAGAAACATCAGAATTCCTTGAACTTTGAATCCTACTTTCCTTGGGATTGTCTTCTAGCTTCCTATGTCTGTTTTTGTTGGTGTTCAAGCTTGCTTTCACTACTTTCCTTAAATGCCTCTCTGGAGGGCTCAGTGATCCCAGAGATTTCAGATGTATGCTGCGTGCATACCTCCACTCAGACAGTTATACGTCACTCTTGCTCCACTCAGAGGCCATCAAAGGAAGGGGACTGTGTGGCTTCTAGCCCGCACTTGGCACAACACCTACATATGACATGCACCAGCTTGACTTTAAATCAATGCATAAATGATAGGTATATTCATATATTACACTCTGCAGTAGCAGTTACAGATTTCAACAGGTGCCTGGAGAAAGCTTACCCAAAGTTGATAAACTATGACAGTAGACATTTCAAGATGCTGATCAAGTTCCTAAATAGAGAAAGGGAGGTAGGTGAGATAGTTGTGACTCAGTGTTTTACCAATGAGACATCCACTTACTCAGGCCATTGTTGGCCAACTCCAAGTACTTTTAAGCCAGAGGAATGTGAAGAGTTCTGAAGGGTGAATATCAGTTTCTGCAAAGGGCTGAGAGCAAGAAAGGATAATGAGAGAAGTATACAAGCACAGCTCAAACATCCATTTCTGTTGAGTTTTAAGAAATTCGAGGTTTTATTTGTCACGTAATCCTCTATTTTTCAGATCAAGCAGACACAGAACATGGGTCAGGGTGGGGATAATGGGCTGGCGTGACTTTCAAATGCTCAGCCCTGGATCTCTCTCATCAGGAATGTGATGGTGGTGGGGGTCTTATAGGTGGCAGTGACTACCGTTATAGGCACTCTCCTGACCAGTTCCCGGGCCTTGTTCTTCACCTATTAGAACCTCTTCCACTCATCAAAAAGCAGGAAGCCATCTGCTCAGACTCTCATTGCCCCAGAGAAAAAGCTCCCATTATCTTTCTGGAGTCCTAAGTGCTGTGTGTTCCCTATAGTAACATCTGTCACATTCTTGGTAGCTAAAGTGATTGGGGCCTGCCTGGCCATTGGAGCTGCTTTTCTACTTTTCTCTCCTTTCACATTCATTGTTCTTGGACAGTGCAGTCTTTCTAGAGAGGTAGGAGTAATCTTTGGTAAAAAATTTCACTTGCTGTCAACTGCAGGACATTCTGAAGGGCTGTGCAGGAAGCAGCATGAATTGTTACTTTTTGACACCGCCAGCAATTTTATCTCCTTCATACCCTGTTTTTCCTTTAGAGGCTCTGATGTCCATGGAGTATCTATGGGTCAGCCTGAACCTGCAGCTATGGTGGCTGAGGAACACCAAACCTTGTTCCTGTATTAACAATTCAGGAAGATGGAAAGATTGCCAAAGAGTCATAGGGAAAGGACACGCAATGGCCTACCAATCTCGCCCAACTCCATTTACCTGGCCTTTTTGGATGTCTATTCTGTGTGAAGCACTGTGCTAGGCACTAGGGCCATGATGGTGAGTAATACTTATAGATGGCGACCTTGAGAAGCTCACGATCTGGTAATGGTAAGGGAAACACATAGAAGCCAATGATGGTGTTAGAGAGTAGAGAGAACAATGGAATTGTATGGGAGATAGAGATTGTCCAGAGGAGGGAGTGTTTATATCTATTTGACAAGGATGATGAAGAAAGAAATTAACAGAAGGGTTTCTGTCTGAGCTGGGTTTTGAAAGATAAGAAGGGGGTTTTCCAGGGAGTTCAGAGCATCGTAGGCAGAGGAAACTGAATGGGTAATGATCTGTAGATGTGGTTTGTTTGGAGGATTTAAAGTATTTCTCAAAAAGGGCAGCCATGGATACAAGGGCAGGTTAGAGGAAATTAATCCCAATGGCTTTGCTTGAGTTTTTGATAAGCACCAATAACCTTTGGGCTTACTGATAACATGGATTGAGTTGTTTATTAATTTCTCCTAGAATATGAACTCAAAGGAGGTCAATGTCGGGGTGTCCATAATTCTTTGCCGACTGCCAAGGTGGATTGGTTTCTTCCTACTGCAGGTGGAGCACAGGTGGTTTTTCTACTGGCTGCAGCTTCAGCCCGCCTCCTTCCCTGGCATATAAATATCCCAGCAGGCCTTGCTGCTGGGTGGGGACGGAAATCTCTACACGCACAGCCCAGCAACAAGCAGCACACACAGTTGAAAGGAAAACTCAGAGCAGAGAACTGCAGGAGGAAAGTAGAGATGAACCTGATCCCAAACTTTTCCATGGAGACCTGGATTCTCCTGGCTATCAGCCTCACGCTCCTCTACTGGTAAGTAACTGTCTAGATTCCCCTCCACTGAAACCTTGGACTTGGGGTGTCAATGAATTCTCTCTTTCCTTTATTTCTTTTGTAGATCAAAAGAGATCATGGAGGGGACTGTGGTTAAGTATCGGATGCTACAAACACATAAGAGGCTATTATTGGTTTTATGGAGATCTGTTGAAGGAATAAAAGTGTTTCTCCACCTCCTGTACAACTCCCAATTTCTGTGGCTAAAGAACTTAGTGGTTTCGTTTGGTCCTGAGGGTGAGCTTATCAGCAGAGGCAGATTACAAACTGACTGCCTTGTGCAGTGGGACCCTCAGCCGTTCCTCAAGCTCTGTGATTCTAGGAGTAGGAGGAAGTGACTAGTTTTTTTGTCTTATTAACTTTGCCTTCTAATTTCTGTGTCTGTTGCAAGAGATGTGTAGAAAAATCATCCTCTGTGGACAGGGCAGGGGAGTGGGGTGTCCCTTCTCCTCTCCCTTCTACCCCCCAGGCATCATTTGCATCAGGCACCACTGTGTACCCCAGACTTTGTCCTTTCTATTTTCCATGCTCCCCCCAAACTCCTCTCCCTTATAAAAAGCTCAATTCCTCCACCTTGTAATTTACAGAACTGTTTACCTCTGAATGATAACTCTTTAGAGCAAAGGAGACTGGGAAAAAAATCGGTTTTATTCTCTTCTTTCTATTCTTTTCCTTCTAATCTCTGGGAAGTCAGCATCAGCACAGAGATTTGTTTTTCCCCTGATCTGAAATCTGCTAGGAGTCTGGAAGGGCAGGAACCCAAAAACCAATTTGGATTTGAAATATTTCTTCCCTCTAAGTTCCAATAGAGGAAGATGAATCCAGACCCTGTAGTAGAGCAATTCCTGGCATTGTGGCGTGCAGGAGGAGACGAGTTAGTCTCAACACGTGAATAGGAGAGGTTCTCCCATGCTGTATTTGACTTTCATTTCAATTTCGAAATAAATGATGAAGAGTAGGAAATCACAAGGACACAAAACAAGAAAACAGAAACCTGGTTCTAATTTTTTGAAATAAATGTTTGGAATGTAATGTATTGTGGCAACACATTTTTTGACCTGCTGGCATCTTAAGGTGTATTGATATGGTTTAATTTCATCTTATTTAGTACCAGACATTTTTCATTGAGATAATTCCCAGTTGTTCTTTCTGAAGGATAAAAGAGAGCTGTTGGTTCAGGATTTGTGATAACTGAGGAGTGTAAAATGCCTAAGAATGTGAGTCTAATGTACAAATACATACCTCTATGGTGCAGATCACATATGTGTTTTTAAACATACCTGCCCAACCGGTTATTTTAATCCCTCAGTTTTCGACATAGATGCCTGGCAAGTTATCTTAACCTCTCTGTGAAGATTGGTAAGCAAGACTTGAGTGAGTAAGGATGTAAAAGGCATGCAGACAGGATTCAGGATGAAGAAGAGAATACTCTTCACCCTGTAATACAGAATTCCCAGAGATACTCATGGTCCTGATCTCCACTGGAGGTCACTGGAAAGACGGATTGGCATTTCATGTTCTTAAAGCCTGGGGAGAGGGACACCATCTAAGTCACTCTCTGTGGGGTCTGCCTTAGAGACTGTCACTAGATATTCTGGCAGCAACACAAACGACATTGCAGCCTTAGAAGACACTGGTGCAGCCCAGTGTCAGCAGCTGTAGACAATGCCCTCATTATGCAAACATGGTAGAAATACAATAAAAATGAATGGTTTGTTTATTAGCCTCTCTACTGTACCAAAAGCAGCATTAGTAAACCAGAAAGAGGCGAGCTGTAGAGGAACAGGGTTTCACCCAGACCATCATCTCCCTTCATATGGTGCTATGTGAGTTTATACGCTCGGTTAGGTCTTCCCTTGGAGACGATATTGCTGACAGATGAGTTCACCTACGTAGCCTTACCGACAATTTATATAACATATTGCAAATTCAGAAGCAGAAATCAATTGATTTGCATAGTAGAGATAACAAAGAAAGGAGCTGGAGCAGGAATAACCAAAGATGCCCTGGCAGTTGGTACACTAGCTTCCACTAAGTATCTGGGGGAGAGCCCTAGTGACCAGCTGGGCCTACCCAAGGTACCGCTAATGAATCCTTCAAACACACATCACTGCATGCATTTTTCAGTTCTATTTAATCACACATTATAAGATTTACTAGATTTGTACAGAATGTTTGAGAACTATACTGCTTAAAGGCTAACTTCTGAAGAAGAGGATACACGATCTAATTCAATTATTTGGAGAATTTTATGGTTATTTATTTTATGTTACACCTTTTTCTATCAATAGGAAGATACCTCAGCTTTGGAAGATACCTTCTCTTTGCTGAAAGGACACATGGGGGATATTGAACCATTTGTCCATATTATACTTTTAGTCATACTTTCCTAATTTGCCTCAACGGGGCCAACTTTGTAAGACTAGCAGCTTCATAGTTAAAAGAGTGCCATCAGTCTCTTCTCTCAGCCTCTCTTCCTCCAGTCTGCCATCTTTTATTAAGAGATTGAAGTGAAAAAAAAAAAAAGAGAGAGATTGAAGTGGAAAGTTTACAAAGTTCCAGAACCTCTAGTTGTGGGAGTCTTTAAGTGACATATTAAAGATGGAATATAGGCAAGAGTACCACAAGGAACACAGATATTATTGGGGTTTTGTATAGAGATAGTTAATGTACAGAGGCAGTAATTGAACAACTTTATAACTATCTTGAAAAAAATTGGCATACTTGGCACTGTGCTTATCAGGTAAATACCACTAGTTGGAGGGCCAGATTTCACAGTAGGAGGAAGGGCTTAAAAATGGATTCTTTGGTCATGGATTCCTCTGCACAGTGTCATACAGGGAACATACGGATCAGTCATCTTTCCTTATAGCTCAAAGCAACCAGATTGCCTGACAGCAGAGACTTGGGTGTAGCTGAAAGGTTTTCACATTCCCATGAGGCCAGGGTGAATCTGGATCACAGTGGTCATTCTGTGGAAATAAGAACTCTGCTGCAAGGTCTCTATGAAGCCAAATTTATGAAGGACCAGATCCTGAAACAGGGTCATGGAAAAGAAAAAAGAAAGGCATAAAAGCCTCTGAGCAAATTGTAAGCACAGGGTCACCTCAGGCTCTCAGTGGCTCCATAATTGAGTAGATATAGTTATGCAGAATCACATCATCAGAGCAGAAGGAAGAAAATTCCTCTTTCCTATCTAGAATGAGAATCCCCTAAATCATGGAAGAGTGAACCTGCTAAATAGATGTAAGCAAATGAAATGCCCTAGAAAAATTCCAGCCTGATTCTGTCAGGAACTCTCAAGTTTGGGGACATTTATCAAATCTTCACTCTAGTATTAGAACCAAGAAGACTTCATCTGCTTTTAGTTAATCATTTGTCTTTTAGGGGGGTCTTATGGTGGAGGTGGGAAAAGAGATGATAACTGAATATAACTATTGCCATTGGAGTTGCTGTTGTTATTTATTGCTTACATGTTATCTCTTCTACTTGACCATTCTAGTTTCTGAGTTAGTGATGTCCAGCCCCCATATGTATAAAGTCACAATCCTTGTGACCTCTCTCTCTCTTCCACTTTACAGGTATGGGACCTCTAGACATAAAATTTTTAAGAAAATGGGAATTCCTGGGCCAACACCTCTGCCTTTTTTTGGAACTCTGTTGGAATACCGCAAGGTGAGTGTTGTTTGAGTATCTCTTCTACTTCTTCGGTTGTAAACACCACCTAAGATCCACAATAACAATGTCCCTCCTTGGGAGAATATTATAAAGTATTATACTGCCAGAAATGGTATGCAGGATCCAACCAGAACATGGCCAGGTACACCCCAGGACTCTGCTGTGGATTCTTAGAAGCCTTAAGTTTGCCTCAGTTGCATGACCCAGATCTCTGGCAGATCACTGGATGTTCAGGACTTGCTCTTTAAGTTGTAAACATCATAAAGAGGATTTTCTGTTTGCCTAGTACAAATTCCCAAAAAGGGACTTTAATACGTAGGTAGCATTTGGAGGAAAGCATAAGGGGCCACCTCTAGCAGTGGCCCATTAGCTGTGTGTACTAGATAAAACACATTCCTTTTCACAGCATGAGCTCATAAATAACCTTTTTGTTTCTTCCTCCTGAAAAGCTTTGAAATCAGTTTACTAGACAGCCCAAGAGTCACCATCGGAGAATTTTCAGACTTGATTCTCTTAAAACCTGTAAAATTCGTTGTTTCCATGACTCTGCCACAGTTTTTTCTGCCCACAACATTCCTTGTGGATTTGAAAAAAATGAGAGTATTCTGCTTTATTTTCTGCAAAGGCAGCACCCTATGGGTGAGTCTGTGCAGGGTGTGGGTCTAGCTGAGGCAAGACGGTGACTGTCTATTGACTTCAAGTACCTTACCATTAAATGAGTTTTGTTTTTTACAACAAAGGCAGAATCACCCATAGAAATGAGAGGAATAGACAAAACTATTAAAAATTTAATTGGAATGGTGCATAATCTGGTCTATAGAGACTGTGCGTTTTGGCTAAATCTGTGGCTAATCTGGTCTGCTATTTTGCCCAGGCCCCTGGACTTTGGAAAGTCTCAAGTTTGCAACCGGAAGACCAGCAGCAAAGGCTTTGTGGGCTGCTCTTCAGCTCAGATTTCCTTTTCTGCAGCACTGAGGCTTATTTCTCAGATTCTAATCTTCCCAGCTAAGGCATTGGTTGCCTGATTACCACCCAAAAATTTCATAAATTGTTCTCTCTGAAAAAGCAATCATTTTCTCTTCACCCTTCCCAAATGAACCCTTCACCAAATATAGCATAAAATCAGGGACCTTCTTTTGTAGCAGATACATCACAGTTGAAACTCAAAATCAAGGAGATTTGTTTTAAGTTTTGGAAGTGAAAATTCAGAGCACAGTCTAATTTGTGATATCTTGTGTGTAGAGGTGGCACCTCCCCATTTTTTTTTTGGTTGAGCTGAGGAACTGGAAGATGAGTGCACTTTGTCATTCACTCACTCACTGTCTCACTCAACAACGTACTTTAGACTAAAAGAGCTCACTATTGTCTCTTGCTTTAGTACTACGTGCAATCAGAATAATAATCAATTTTATTTTTTCTTAGGGCATTTGGGATTTTGACCTAGAGTGCCATAAAAAGTATGGACCTACATGGGGGTGAGTATTATGGAAACTTCCATTGGATAAATATGTTTTTATGATGAAGCACCTCACTGCATGGAGGACAAATCTCAGCTCAGAGCATCTTGGGGTGAAGTTATCTATTGGAAAGCTTTTAGAGGCTTTTCCTATTGAAGATCTCATGTGTCAGCAGATGTTAAAGTCTATACTCTGAATTAGGCTGAGAATGTTATGGGTTATCACATTCCCCCAGGCTTTGTTGGCCCAGGGACTCCTAGTATCACTTTCTGTTCAGTATCTGGCTATTCCCTTCTTCTCTATTTTTCCTTCCTAAGGTCCCCTTTGATTACATAAAATATATTATTTCAGTTCCTTCTAATATATACTCATAAAGGCATGACATCATTGCCTTTTCATATTGATTCACTTTTAATTAAAAGTCAAAACTCCTTTATTTAAATTTTGAATTTAATATGTGCTTCTGAATGATGGGCTGGGGAGATGTATTAGGTCATCAGAGAAGTCCTGATATAGCTTTCCATGTTTTTTTATGCAAAAATGCATCATGACTTTTCCAGCACTCAACAGATTGAGAAACCACTTGTGCTTTTTTTTTTTAAGTGTCTCTGCAAGTGTGTTTTTTGGTGTGCTTGTTTAATTATTTTTAATAATTATTTATTTTAAAATTTTTGTCATTTTTTTAATTGATCAGAGAGAGAGAAAGGGAAAGTGAGAAAACAAGCCACTAAGTCTAGGACTTGAACCACAGTTGGCCATGTGGCAGTCCAGTGCCTTAACCACTACACCACCTGCTGGCCCCACATGTTTTTAATTTTAAGCCATGACTTTCAGTAGAAGGGTATAAGAGTCTGTCTTTCTTTTTTAATAATTATTTTATTTAACTTCATTTATTTATCTATTTTTAATTTGACCAGAGAGGGACAGAGTGAGGGAGAGAAAAAGAGGGTGAGTGAGAAAGCAAGTTGTCAGGTCAGAGACTTGAATCACAGTCAGCCATGTGGGGTCTAGGGCCCTCAACTGCCACTCCACCTGCTGGCCCTTAGGAGTATTTCTTTGTTTACTCTATTCAACTAACTTTGAAGGAAAGATGTAGCATATTCGTTTTGGTTTGTTCTTCAGTTTTTGCTATAGGGTGGGTGTGTGCATACACTGGAAAGAGAGAGAGAAAGAGCGAGAGATGAGAGAAAAAGTGAGAAATCAACTCCCAGGGGAATTACTGCAATCCCTTCTCCTCCAGTCTCCTCTTAGGATTTTGGGCATGTACACACATGGCACCTCTCATAATTACTTAGTAGCCAGGTCCATGACTTTGAACCATGGAGTTGTCTATGTGGGATTCAGAGCCTTAACCTCCATGCCACTGCCTAAGATGTGGCATATTTTTAAACCATTTGTTCCCAGGGGAGCTGATGGACTACATTTGTAGGATAGTTTTAGCCAATTATAGTAGCTATTCCCTTTTGGAGATTTGGTAAGAATAGTGGAAAAGGTATAGTCATTGTTCTTGTATGCTAAACACAAATGAGAGAAGGCTAGTACTTCTCATTATCATCTCTCATCAACTCTTCAGAAACAAGGCTGGCTGCATGGTTCTGAAAAGTTGGCATGGTCCATAAAGGAATCATGATCAAGTAGATAAAAACACTGGCCCAACTCCCAATACCCCTTGCCATATGTTTTACTTGAGAGCACTTGATAATTCACTTGCCTTCAATTTTTCACTGACCTAATATCTGTTTTGGAAATAAAATATTGTAAAATATCAAAAATGGTGAAGAATGGTATAGGAAATATCCACGTATGTACCATCTAGACTTAATAAATATTCTACTATTAGTTCTAACCATCTTTATCCTTAAATATCTCTTCCCTGCTTGAGCTAGCCACATAACCCTTCATTTTATGAAGCCTCAAGTGACTTCTATGGTAAGAATCTCGCTGTGTATCAGACCCTAACTTGAACTAGGAGCTAATGTTACTGTGTGTCCTACTACTAGGGGTATGGATTATACAACATTGGGATCAAAGTCTGAATTTCTGGGCATGGCTCTAACTGCAGAGCCCAGCTTCGTAGGTTTAATTAGTTTTGTTTTTTCAACACAGGTTATATGATGGTCGGCAGCCACTTCTGGTTATCACGGATCCAGATATGATCAAAATAGTACTAGTGAAAGAATGCTATTCTGTCTTCACAAACAGAAGGGTAGGCATCCATTGTTTAAATTAGAATATTATTTACTTAAGAAGTTTTTGTTTTTAAATAATTTTAGATTCACAGGAATTTACTCAAAAAATGTACAGGGAGGTTCCACATACCCTTTATCCTGTTTCCCTCAGTGGTAATGTCTTACATAAATATTGCATAGCTATAAGTATCGTTTATTCTTATTTCATTAATAGTAGCAAATGGGCATTGATTCAATCCATAGAGGTTATTCAGATCAGTTTTATGTACCCTCATTTGTGTGTGTGTATGTGTTTGTGTTTGTGTTTGTGTGTAGCTCTATTCTCACTTATCACGTGTATAGATTTGGTAACTACCACCAAAATCAAGGCATAGAACAGTTCCATCATCATAATGCTTCTTCTTGATATTGTTTTATAGTCATAATGTATAGTTTGTCTTTCCTCTCTTTCTCTCCCTCTTTTTATTTTTTGCTATAGATGTGTGCAATCTCCAGAGAGAGACAGAGAGAAAAAATGAAAAGTTCACCCCCTGGGGTGGTGGCCATGCCACAGTCTCTTCTCCTTCATTCTCATCTTGGGATTTTGGTCATACACGCGTGTACTCGCACACACATGGTGTGATCTTCAAGCGACTGAGTCTGGAACTCAAACAGCGAAGTTGGCCATGTGGGATCCAGACTCCTTAACCATGTTGCCACCTGGCTGACCCTTAACAGGGTTTTTATCAGAGAAAAAATAATTTTTTTTTATTTCCAAGAGGCCAATTTATCCATTTTTTTTCTTTTATACTTTGTGCTTTCTTGGTCAAGTCTGAAAATTCTTTGCCTAGCCCTTTTATGCTATTTTTCTAAAATTTATATAGTTTTGTTCTATATGTGAGTCTATATATAAGTCTAAAATACATCTTGTATTAAGTTTTGTATGAGGTATGAGATTTAGGTCAAGGTTCATTTTATGTCTGTGTGTATGTGTGTGTATGTGCGTGTGTAGTGTGTGTGTGTGTGTATGTGGTGGGGTGGGCTTATGGCTATCCACTTGTTACAGCACAATTTTCGAAAAGGCTATTCTCCCTTCATTGAACTAGTTTGAACCATTATCAAAACATAGTTGGGCCCAGTATGTGGGTCTTTTTTTTTGTTCTCTATTCTGTTCCATTGATGATTGAGTCTGTCCTTCTGCCGGCACCACAGTGACTTGATTACTGTAGATATATAGTAAGTGTTAACATCATTTAGAGTGAATCTTCTCACTTCATTTCAGAATTGTTTTAGTTGTTCCTGGTCCTTGGTCTTTTCTTACAAATTAAGAATAAACTTGCTTATGTCCATGAAAAAACCCTGCCAACCTACAATCCAGTAATACCACTTCTAGGTATTTACCCAGAAGATAGGAATACACTCAGTTGGAAAAACACTTTCATATCCATGTTTATTACAGCATTATTCACAATTGCTAAGACATGGAATCTACCCAAATGACCAAGAACAAATAACGGGATTGAAAATATGTGGCATATGTGCACTATGAAATACTACTTGGCATAAAAAAACAACAATAAACCCTCTCATTTTATACAAAATGAACGACTATAGATTTAATGCTAAGGAAAGCAAACCAAACTATGAAAGACAGATATTGTATGTCCCCACTCAATATATACCAAATGTTGGCACTCTATGACTGAAACTGAAAGAATGGAATATATAATACCAGGGACGACAAGTGTAAATATCAAAGACAGTATAGGAAGGACTGGATAGTGGGAGGGGAAGGGCTCAGTGGAAAAAGACATTTAACAGACAAAAGAATGGAGAGTTATCTGTTGATAACTATGTTTATGGTGATATCTTTGACTTGTTTGACATGCAATACATGTATGCTGGGAAAAACCATGTTGCAAGTTGTAAAGATGTACAATGATTACATGTAAATTAAAAAAACAAAAACAAATTTGCCAGGGCTGGCAGGTGGCCAGAGACGGAAAAAGGAAAGTGAAAAATCACCCCCACTGGGGGATGGCCATGCCACAATCCCTTCTTCTCCCTTCTTCTCTTGGGATTTTAGGCATGCATGCACACCACGTACCTGGTGTGATTTTGAAGCTGCCAGTCCCAGAACTGGAACTGTGGTTGGTCATGTGGGAATTGAGTGCTTTAACCACCATGCCAATTCCTGGCTCCAGTATGTTGAGTCTTTTAATCAATGAACATAGTATGCCTCTCCATTTCTTTAGGTCTTTTTTGATTCCTTTCATCAACATATTGTAGTTTTTAGCTTAGAAATCATGTACATGTTTTGCTAAACTTATATCTGTGATATTTCACTTTCTTTGAAGTTATTGTAAATGGTATTGTGCTTTTAAGAGATTTTCATGTGTTTATTGTTATTATATAGACATGTGGTTGACTATTGTATGTTGATCTTGTATCCTACAACTTTGCAGAACATATTTATTATTTTGTATATTTCTTGGAATTCTCTACATTCACAATTATACCTCCTAAAAACAGAAACACTTTTATTTTTTCCTTTCCAATCTGTTTCTCTTTTTGTTCTTTTCCTTCTCTTATTACACCAATTAGGACTTCCAGTATAACACTAAATAAGAGTGGTGACTGTGGACATTTTGAATTGTTACTAATCTTGGGAGTAAAACAGTCCATCTTTCACCATTAAGAGTGATGTTAGGGCCAGCAGGTGGCATATTGGTTAAGGTGCTGGACTGTCACTCATATGGCCAATTGTGGTCTGAGTCCTCCAACCTATGGCTTGATCCTCATGCCTGGCACATATATGTGTGTGCCCAAAATCCTGAGAGGAGAATGGAGGAGAAGGGATTGTGGCATGGTCATCCCTCTATCTGATGATTTCTCACTTTCTCTTTCTCTGTCTCTCCAGCAAGCACATATGCCCTCTAGCAAAAAACTCAAAAAACTCAAAAAAAAAAAAAAAAAGAAGAATGACATTAGCCGAAGTGTTTTTGTTTTTTGTTTTTTGTTTTCATTTTTCTTTAGACTCTCTATCAAATTGAGACAGTTTTTTCTTTCTTTTTGAGACGTTTTTGCTATAGGGTGTATAGCAAAAGAGAGAGACAGAGAGACAGAAAGTAAGAAATCCTCCATTCTCCTCTTGGGACCTTGGACATGCATGCACACACGCCCGGCATGAGTTTAAGCCACCGGGTCTGGGACTTGAACTATGGTCAACTACATGGGAGTCCAGCGACACAGCCATTACACCAACTGCTGATCCCAAGTTTTTCTTTCTTAATTTTTAAGGGACCAGCAGATGGTGTAATTGTTATATCTCTGGACTCCCATATAGTCAACAGTGGTTCGAGTCCTGGACCCCGCAGCTTAAAATTCACACCGGGTTCATGTGCATGTGTGCTCAAGATCCCAAGAGGAGAATGGAGGAGAAGGAATTGTAGCATGGCCCTTCCTCTGGGGTGTGATTTCTCTCTTTCTGTCTCTCTGTCTCCCTGTTCCATGCATGTGCCCTATAGCAAAAATATCTCTCTCTGGAAAAAAGAAAAAGAAGTATCCATTTCCATTTTAAAACAAAATACTGTTTTGGAGAATGAAATAAATTTTCAAGCAGATTGACTTGGTAGGCCAGTTTCAAGCTGGGAAACATTAATAATATTATTTCTTTCCGTTTTCCTTCTATCCCTGGTGGGGAAAATGAAAGAAAAAAAGACTTTTATGTAATTGCATTGTTTCTTCAGAATATCAAAAATTTTGAGTATTAACTACTTTTTTTTTTAATCATCAAGGTATCCCTTTTTCAGGTTGCTCCATGTAGACATATGCAAAAATAAAATTGCTCTGATGCAACATACAGTTTTCCAAGGCCATCTGTCTATCTTTCACAATCCCTTTCCATTCAGCACTGCCTTGGAGGACGGTCTTATTCCTGTTTATCCCCTTGAGGAAATAGTTTTCCCACCATGCAGAGCATTTGCATTTTCAGAGGAGACTGGTACATAAAGGCTGAAAAACATATCAGGTATCTGAGTGCCACTTCCACCCTCATAGGAGGTTGGGCTTTTGAGATAAGTTTTTAGTAAGCATCTAGCGTAGGGCCTGCCACCTACTAGATAGTTACTAAATATTTGTTACATAATTGATGCCTGTTTAATGAAGTTTCTGCAATGATAGAGATTTCCAAAAATTATATAAGACAAAATATCTTTTGCTTTGGATTCTAGTCTTTAGGTCCAGTTGGATTTATGAAAGATGCCATTTCCATATCTGAGGATGAAGTATGGAAGAGAATAAGGGCATTGCTGTCTCCAACCTTCACCAGCGGAAAACTCAAAGAGGTATAAAATAAAAGGGCTTTTAATTAAAAACTTAAAGAATTTGGGAACAGGTAGAAAGTAAGAAGATCACGGTCCCTTGCGAGGGATAAACAATTTAATTTGAGCTTCCTGAAAATGGTCTTTTATTTTTATATCTTAGAAGAGAAAGTATAAAATCTATGATAAGGTGTCACTTACTGCTTCATATTTAGGAAAATCATGTCCTTGTGAGATTTGGGTCTCCATATTTAACTATAGTTGGTGTTATGTTTTGTGCTTAGATGTTCCCAATCATTATCCAGTATGGAGATATATTGGTGAAAAACCTGAGAAAGGAAGCAGAGAAAGGCAAGCTCATCACCATGAAAGAGTAAGTAGGGGTTGGTTTAGTGGTAGTGCAGTAGTAAGCTATTCAAGAGAAGCAAGATCCCACATGGCCACTGCCATGCAAATTCTGTACTTGGTCAACCTGAAACATGTTGGATATGCCTGCAAGTGCCTAAGATCTAACGGGGTGAAGGACTGGAGGAAGGGGACTACATGTAACCAGACCCTGTGGATGGTGCTCATCTTTCTTTCTTTCTTTCACTTTTTACTCTCACATGCATGAACACATGCTCTATCATGAATAAGGCCATCACTTCTCTATCCTCCAATCTCAAGAGAGAAAAGGCTCTGCAAAGACTATGATTAGGCCAAAGATATCATTTTTTTGTCCAAACTGAGATATTTTAGAATTACTCTGGAACAGCAGTTATAAATTGTGACTATCCTGGGCAACTCAGGACAAAGAATTACTTAGCTTTGGATACCCCACACTGATTTTGTCTTAGGGAAACTACAGATCACTGGAGTTGGGTTTATTAGAAGCTTTATTTTTATTTTATTTTTTTGGCGGGGGGTGATACGGGGAAGGTGTGAAGGAAAAATGATTTGCCTGACTACTCAGAACAAAGAGTTGGTGCTCTGCTGCTGCAGGGGATCATCTCTGGGCATAGACTCTGGATGAGGCAAGGCATGGGTCAAAGTCACATTTCTGTAGTCCCAGAGGAAGAATGAATGACTTCAGCTTTGCTCTGCTGATATCTATTATCACCCACCGTCAACACACACTGCTGTCATTCACCTGAGTATGGATCTGTCTCTGTCTATGACATAGCTCCTTGAGTTCAAGGATGAGTCTAACTCACGTTTGTGTTCCCATCACTCCTAGGAGTGCCAGTTGCATCACTGGCACCCAATAAATGCCTCATGAGTGAGAGTGGTGGGGGCACAGAGCCTTCATATGATCCAGCAAAAGTTCTGAAAGTGTGATTCTTAAAGGTGTGCTATATGGATTTATACAGATTTTGCTGCATGTGTAGTAGAAGATGCTGATTTTAATTTTCTGGTTTTTTTTTTTCTGTTTTTTATTCAGTGTCTTTGGGGCCTACAGCATGGATGTGATCACTGGCACATCATTTGGAGTAAACATTGATTCTCTCAACAACCCACAAGATCCCTTTGTGGAAAAAATCAAGAAGCTCATAAAATTTAATTTCTTTGACCCATTCCTTCTCACAATAAGTATGTATACTACTATTTCATTAATTTTCTCTTTAGAATAATTATTTGAAGTATAATTCACATACTATATATAGTTCACCCACTTAAAAATATACAATTTGGGACCAGCAGATGGTATAATGGTTATGTCACTGGACTCCCACATAGTTGATTGTAGTTTGAGTCCTGGACCCGGTGGCAAACTTACACTGGGTATGTGTATTTGTGTTCCCAAAATCCCAAGAGGAGAACGGAGAAGGGATTGCAGTATGACCATCCCCCATGAAGGGTGATTTCTTGCTTTCTGTCTCTCTGGTGAGTGAGTGCACATGCCCTATAGTAAAAATCTCTCTTTAAAAAAAAATACATATATACACAATTCAGTGGTTTTCAGTACATTTGTCAATATGTGGAACCATCACCACTGTCAATTTTAAAACATTTTCTTTTTTTAATGAATTATTTATTTAATTGCATTTATTGTTATTATTATTTTTAATTTGACCAGTGAGAGACACAGAGGGAGAGAGAAAGTGAGAAAGCTAGCTGCCAGATCTGCAACTCAAGCCATAGTCAGCCATATAGGAGTCCAGTGCCCCAAATACCACTCCACCTGCCAGCCCCACAGTATTTTCATGAACACCAGAAACCTTGTACTTTTTTTTAATTTTTTTTTTTTTTTTTTTTTTTTAGAGATTTTTGCTACAGGGTCCATGCACTCGCTGAAAATACAGAGAGACAGAAGTGAGAAATCATCCCCTGGGAGAGTGGCCACACCACAAACCCTTCTTCTCTAATCTCCTCTTAGGATTTCGGCCATGCATGCACACCTGCTTGGCATGAGTTTCATGCCACCAGGTCCAGGAATTGAACCACAATTGACTACATGGGAGTCCAGCCTTATAACCATTATGTCATCTGCTGGTCTCTATGGATGAATCTTGAAAACATAGTGCTAAATGAAAGAATCCAGTCACAAAAGACCACATAGTCTATGATTCTATTTGTAAGAAGTGTGCAGAATAAGCAAATCTATGGAGACAGAAAGTAAATCCTAATTTCTCTAGATCCTCGTTGGCACTTTTTTTTTTTTTGTCTTGGGACCAGCAGTTAGTGTAATGACTATGTCACTGGACTCCCAGGTAGTCAACCACGGTTCGCGTCCTGGACCCGGTGGCTTAAAAATCACACTGGGTGCGTGTGCGTGCGTGCCCAAGATCCCAAGAGGAGAACGGAGGAGAAGGAATTGTGGCATGGCCATCCCCCCAGGGGGGTGATTTCTCGCTTTCTGTCTCTCTGTCTCTCTCTGTCTGTCTGGCGAACGCACGCGCCCTATAGCAAAAACCTCTCAAAAAAAAAAAATCTAAAAATTCACTAATTGCCAAATCTGAGGTCATAAAAATTTCTCCATTGGTTTTTTCCTCTAAGAGTTGTATGGTTTTATTTCTTATCTTTCAGTCTTCAATCCATTTTGCGTTAGGTTTTGTATATGATGCAAGGTAAGGCTCCAACTTTCTTCTTCTTCTTTTCTTTTCTTTTTCTTCTAGGTTTTTACCATAGGGCATGTGTACTCACTGGAGAGAGACAGAGAGAGAGACAGTGAGAGGGAAAATGAGAAATCACTCCCACCTCACACGGGGATGACCATGCCACAATCCCTTCTCCTCCATTCTCCTCCTGAGATTCTGGGCACGCACACACAGGCGCCTGGTGTGATTTTTCAAACCACCAGTCGGGACACATAGTTGACCATGTGGGAGCACAGCACCTTAATTGCCACTCCACCTGCTAGCCTCTGTAATACTAGTTTTAAAGGATTTCCTCTTATTTTGTTTTTTAAAGTGTTTGTGAAGAATTGGTATTAGTTCTTGAAATGTCTGGTAGACTTCACCATTAAACCATCTTTGTGGGTAGTTTTTGATTACTAATTCAATCTTTGTATGTCTTTATAGGTCTGTTCAGATTATCTGTTTCTTTCTTAGTCAGTTTGTGAAGTTTGTGCTTTTCAAGGCATTTGTCCATTTCATCTAAGTTATCTAATTTATATCATTATTTTAATAATACAGTAATAGAATTCCTTTAAATCTTTTCTCCTATGTTTGGCTTTGCCATAAAGCATGTGCACTCACTGGAGAGAGACAGAGAGAGGGAGAGTGAGAAATCACCCCCAGGGGGAATGGCCACACTGCAATCCTGTCTCTTCCACCCTCCTTTTGCAATTTTTGGGCATTCACACACATGTGCCCAGTGTGACTTCCAAGCTTCTGATTTTTGGAATTTGAGCCATGGTTAGCCATATGAGAGTCCAGCACCTTAACCACCATGCCACCTGCTGGTCCCCCTTTATAATCCTTTCTATTGTTTTAATGCCAGTTATAATTTTTCTTCTTTCTTTTTTTTTTTTTCCTTATTTTTGGAGACGTTTTCGCTATAGGGCGCATGTGCTCACCAGACAGACAGAAAGAGAGAAATCACCCCCCAGGGGGGATGGTCACGCCACAATCCCTTCTCCTCCATTCTCCTCTTGGGATCTTGGGCACGCACGCACATGCGGCCAGCGTGTTTTAAGTCACCGGGTCTGGGACGTGAACCGCGGCCGACTACGTGGGAGTCCAGCGACATAGCCATTACGCTAACTGCTGGTTCCCTCTTCTTTCATTTCTAATGCTAGAAAAAATGCTTTGAGCCATCTCTCCTTTTTCTTCTTGGTCAATCAAACAAAAGATTTGTCAATTTTGATGATGTTTTCAAAGAACTAGCCTTTGGTTTCATTGATTTTTCTCTATTTTTTTAAATTTCTATTTCATTAGTTTACACCTAGTCTTCATTATTTTCTTTCTTCTGCTTGGTTTAGGTTTAGTTTGCTCTGTGTAGGTGTGTTATGTTGTAAATTTATTGATCTGAGTTTTTTTAAAATATAGGCATTTATAGCTATACATTTCCCTTTGAGCATTGCTTTTGCTACCATTTCATAAGTTTTGGCATTTTGTTTATTTTTATTCTTCTCAAAATCATTTATAACTATCCATTTGTTTCTTTTTTGACTCATTGGTTATTTAGGAGCATATTGTTTAGTTTCCCCATATTTGTGAATTTCCTAATTTTCTTTCTGTTATTGGCTTCTTTCATTCCAGGTAGATGAAGATCATATGCTGTATCATTTTTTATTCTCACTACTATTTCTTGAACAGCAGAAGCAATGAAAACAGCAGACTATGGTCTGGCTTATCCTAAATGACTCTAATCAAAGATAAAAGGCTAAGAGGGGGACCAGCAGATTGTTTAATGGTTGTGTTGCTGGACTTCCATGTAGTCTGTGGTGGCTCGAGTCCCAGACCCAGTGGCTTAAAACTCAAGCTGGGCACCTATGTGTGCATGCCCAGAATCCTAAGAGATGATTGGAGGATAAGAGACTGTGGTGTGGCCATCCTCTCTGGGGGGTGATTTCTCGCTTTCTGTCTCTCTGGCAAGCACACATGCCCTATAGTAATAATCTCTCTCTCAAAACAAAACAAAATAAGAAAATGGCTAAGAGGTTAGAGAATTTGATACCCTCCTTTGACCACGCCAAAGACGCAGAGAGGCCACTGATCTCATTGCTATAGTGGTGGGGCCAATATGCAAACATGTCCTTGCTCAGCTATTGACCTAGAAACCTGAGAAAAGGTCAGAGAGGGGATAGTCCTGGTGTCTGTTTTGATTGGTAGATAAAATTTTAATTTCTCCAGGGTAGAAAAAATTATAATTGTTCCAAGTAAATTTTGCAATTTTACCAAGGTTTCTTTTTTTTTTTTTCCCTCCAGTACTCTTTCCATTTCTCTCCCCATTTTTTGATGCCATCAATGTCTGTTTATTTCCACGAGATGTTTTAAACTTTTTTAAACAATCCGTGTTAAGGATGAAAGAAGGTCGTCTTAAAGATAAACAAAAGGTAAAATCTGGTGGTGGTTGCATCAGGATGTTCACTGTTTGATAATTTATTGGACTGTATATATATATGATTTGAACACTTCCCTGTCTTTTTTTAAGGTAGATAGAGAGCTCTAAGTTTAGAGCAAGTGTACATTTTGGGGAGAATGGAAAAGGAGAGATCAGAGAAGAGATACAAGAGTGAGTCAGATGGGACCAGCAGTTGGCGTAATGGCTATGTCGCTGGACTCCCACATAGTCGACCACAGTGTGAGTCCCGGACCCGATGACTTAAACTCACGCCAGGCGTGTGTGCGTGCATACCCAAGATCCCGAGAGGAGAATGGAGGAGAAGGGATTGCGGCATGGCCATCCCCTCTGGGGGGTGATTTCTCACTTCCTGTCTCTCTGTCTCTATGTGTCTGGTGAGCGCACGCACCCTATAGCAAAAATCTCTCCAAAAAAAAAAAAAAGAGGGATCAGAGAAAAAGAATTTAAAATGTAGTAATAGATATCACAAAAAAAATTATAGACATAAAAGCTTATCACTTCTCTACCCTTCAATATGTATTAAAGGATAAAAGTTACTGTTTTAAACTTATTTCACTGGTATTATTATTTCCCTAAATCTTAGACTGGCAAAGAATCCTTTCCATTCCAAGCTTCTTATTTTACATACGCTCCAAAGCAAAGCCCTTTCTGGCTACCTGGTGAAGTGTAGTCGGTGTTATAAAGTCTGAGCTCTGTCATGGCCTGGAGTATAGAGGTGCCTTCTCTGAGCCCTGAGGCTGCATGCTGGCTAACTTGCTTTTCCTTCGTGAGGCCTGAAGGCCAGCACAAGGATGTCTGCAGGTCAGGGTGCAGGACTAGGTATCCCAGGTGTCACTGAAAATATGTTGTATAGAGTTTTAGGAGGGTGGAATATTTTAAGATGTTGAAATGAATGTCAGGAGATTAATCTTTGTGTCCATTGGTAAAGAATTAAGGCAGGAGAACAAAAATGAGTGAAGTCCAGGAACTCTTTCTGAGTAAGCAGTTGTGACAGGAGAAGGATCAGGCAATTCTTTGGCTAGGAAGATGCATTGAAAAGACAGAGAAGTAGAGGATTAGAAAGGGAAAAAAAAAAGAAAGAAAGAAAGAAAGAGAAAGAAAGAAAGAAAGAAAGAAAGAAAGAAAGAAAGAAAGAAAGAAAGAAAGAAAGAAAGAAAGAAAGAAAAAGAAAGAAAGAAAGAAAAAGCAATTTGACCCACCTTACCTGGATTTTCCAGAGAAAATTCTGCTTTCCAAAGTTTATAGATGAATGTTGACATTCACTTCTTACTCTGGCAACCAGTCAGATGTTTGGACTTAAAGGGGCCATATATTGTACTTTTGATTTGCTTCTGACATCACAAATGACTGTCATTAAAAATTCTCTTTCTGCTTCCAGCATCGAGTAGATCTTCTTCAGCTCATGATTAACTCCCAGAATTCCAAGGAAATGGAGTCCCATAAAGGTAACAAAAGAATGCTTCAGAGGGCTACCTATGGGACAGCAAAGAGAAAGATAATTGTTCTGAAAATGCGTAGCAGTTTTTTAGGTAGATGAGAATTTAAGCCAATTGCAAAATGACAGTTGTGCAGATATTATAAATGGTAGCCAAAAGCATGTTCTAGAAACACACAGGTTTATCCATGTTCAAAGCTTGAAGGGAAACTGTGAATAAGCATTTCATACTTGGACATCAGTCAGGGGTCTGTGGATCAACTACATTAGAACAAATGTCATGTCTATTTCTATCTTTCCCAATGTGACTTTTTTTGATAAAGAAATTACAGTATCATTGTTTATTACAGCAACCACTAGACAAATGTGGCTATTAAGTTCTTGACTATTTGCTTAGTACCAATGAAAAGCTGAATTTTAAGTTGTATTTAATTTTACTGAATTAAAATTTAGGGCCAGTCAGTGGCCTGGTGGCTAAGACAGCTGGAACCCACACAACTGACCATGTGATTCATGATCCTAGATCCAGTGGTTTGAAAATATGCTGGGTGCATGTGTGTGTGTGGCCAAAATCCTCAAAGGAAAGAGAAATGGAGGAGAGGAGACTACTGCATGACCATTCCCCCTCAGAGGGTGTTTTCACCTTGTCTGTCTTTCTCTGTCTCTCTGTCTCTTTCTTGTGAGTGGATGCGACCCCTGGCAAAATTTTAAAAATGAGTAAATAGATTTTTTTTTAATTTAAAATTAAGAGACAGAAGATAATGTGATGGTTAAAATGCTGGATTCCCACATGGCCAATCACAGTTCAAGTCCCAGACCCAGCATCTTGAAAATCACACTGGGCATGTGTGCCTGTGTGCTCAAAAAAAAAAAAAAAATCCAGAGAAGAGAATGGAGAAGGGA